GTAGGTGCTTCAGTTGGTGACGAGGATGGCATGGCAGTATTAGTCACGTTTTCTGGTAGTGACGTTATAACTGTCGTTGATGGTGGGTCTGAGAAAAAAGTACAATAAAACATGCATTTATGTATACTGTGGTGATGTGGCATAATTATGAGCAATTGTCTGGACCTTTATCATTTAACGAATTCAGTACATTTCAGGATAACATTTACAACCAAATTTGCGTCATTGCTTACTTGCTTAACGATTAAATAATCAGAATGTCGTTTTCTTAAAATGTTATCCTTGTTCACAATTGGCTATTATGATGCAACATTTTCTTAATTTGAATGCACTATTCAAATGTAATCACAATTATGATGTTAACATTCATAGACTGATTAATCAATGCAGTATTGACCGACCTTCAGTGCAACTGAATCCATTTCCTGTGTAACCTTCGTCACAGAAACATCCTCGCAAACCACCTCTTACATCACAAGTCGCATTAGTATCACAGAATATTGGAGAGCACACCATGTTATTTGTAGCATTGCACGTACATTGCTGATTACATACATCATCAATAAACTGGTCACCAACCTGGTGGTAAAGATAGATAATATATGGCTATGAAACAACAGTATTTAAAATCTTATATTATATGGATATACATACTACCAAAAGTCTAATATTTGGAAGAAAACGCCTTCTGTCGGCGAGTTGTGTCTTCACATCGTCACTATTGCTTCAATCTGCAGTCGCCGGACAAATACTTCTATTGATAGATTTTCTATATTGCGGATAACGACTGCAGTTGGCATTTTAACTGCATAATGTCCCCTGTGGGCGCTTTTTCGGCTGGCCATTATACTGCGCTATCAGGAATAATTCGACGATTCATTGAAACATTGAACGTGATTGAAATAAAGTGTCACTATATATACCATATAAGAGTATCCATCTTTAATACAGCCACATTCTTGAACTGGTATACAGTGCATGCCGTCACGTACGAATCCATCGAGACAGTCACACCCTTCGTAGCATGTTGGGCGACATTGGCCGTCGGGGTCCGCACAAGTAGGACCACACAGATTAGCACACATTGTATACTCGGAGTTTGCCGTGCAATTAATAGCTGCAATAGAAAATATTAATAGTGTATGTTTTATTTTATTTTCTATCAAGCTTCTATCATGGTCGGCCTAAAAATCGAGTAAATAATAATAATAATAATAATAATAATTATCTTAATTGAAGTCGTATCCTAAAAAATGGACATAGATCAAAAGAACACTATCGCATGTTTTTTCATTCCACGACAGAAAGAAACAGAAGGAAAAGAAAAAAAACAGTGGCCAAAAATGGGTTAGAAATTGATATTTCATAAAGTTAATGTATACCTTACTTAATTAGATATTTGTAATTCACATTCACATATGTATTTTGCTACACATTATAGCTGACATTTTAACAAAAAGTGTTTTTCATCTTCAGTATCATCAGTATCGCATACCGGATATCTTTTCTCAATAATATTAGGATTGCCCTTAAAATCACTTTATGGCGATTCGCTCCGCCTTTAACATCACTTTTGTGTCTCTCTGTGTGTGTGTGTGTGTGTGTGTGTGATTTTCTGTGTTTTTTTGGCTATGCCGCTTTCGCTTGAAAAGACGGTTTAATAATCGAATACATTATAGGTGAAGGGACAGGTCGGCCTAATGCTTAATAAGTGCGTTATATGTAGAAATAAGGACTTACGACAGAATGATTCTGATCGCCATGGATATATCGTTGCTCCCCTCTGATTACATCTGTGTGAAAGCACCTCGATATTTTCACAGACAGAGCTGATGTCGTCATATGTTGCACAGTAGTCGTACACACACGTGTCATTGATCCCAGCATAGTTGACATGTCTGAAACAATCTCTGAATGGACCTAATGAGCAAAATAGTAATTCAATTGTGGGGAAACAGAGGGGTAACAATATAATGAATGAATGAATTAGACCAAAACGACAATTCTCAAAATATTTTTTATACCTGAGCTCCACATCATTTTCCCCTACGGATGACAGCAAATTGAAGGAAATTTCTTTTTAATAACATCAAGCATTTTAAGTTACTTGTTGTACCTTTTAAATTCACTCACCTTCAACATCATATATTATACTACATGCATTTTTTATGACAGTCATTTCGCTTTCTGTTCTATTAACACATGGGTCAACTACTTCAGCAATGGTATCGCATGTATCAGTGTTGTATACCCAGCTATCTCCAAATTCTTCAACGTTTGCAGCCTTCAAAATGAAATAGACGATAACATAATCTGAGTAATACGTCATGTACAATTGCATCTCCAAATATAGAAATATTTCAAATAGTTTTTGGAACAAGTCTAATTAGAGTAGAGTCAATCTATAATAATAATAATAATAATAACAATAATCACAACGTGAATGATATGCATGAGATGAGAAAGAGTTGATGACATGCAACAAAGCTGTGAAGAAAGTGCCAAGTAATTGTGATAGTAGAAGAGAATTGTAGAATAAATAGACTTAACTCTTTTAACGCCTTTGAACACTATGTAAATATTTCACAAAATAAACACACAATGTTTGTCAGTGAACAATGTTGTACACAGATGTTGACGTTAAAATTATTAAAATTAAAGATAACATGAAACATATTTATGCAAATAATAAGCGAGTGCAGATAATTGTTATTCCCCTGCATTTAACAAATCATTATTTAAGAACTACTCCTCTATTTCAAATCATGAGCAAAACGGAAGATTCCTACAAAGTAAACAAATAAAAATATCAGCAATTAGCAACACATAAGAGTAGGGATGTGCAACGATAGTGCAAACAATGTTACAATACTATTTAATTTAGCAAAACAAAAAATAACGCAAACAAAGACGCAAGTGCATCTATGAGTAAATGTATGCCTTTGACCGACTGTAAGCAAATACACTGTCAATGAGTTTTTGTAATCTGATTCAGGGTCCAATAATAATTACATTTTTTTATGAACTCGTAATCACATCGACGAGCTAGTAAACGTAAATTAGTAAAGTTATTGACAGCACGGTTGGATGTATACAAGCAACAAATTTTCGATACTTAATAGCAAATCAGCGAAGCGAGTGAGTAATTTGCCATACCATGTCACCATTAGGAGTTTTGAGATCGTTGTTAGCAATAAAATCGTAGTTCCCTGCAAATCCACACGTTGTGTTGCGGTAATCAGTGCTCAAGTGCACTTCTAAATAATCATAACCATCCCAGAAAATGTCCATTCCGAAGTCGGTCTCGAAACGCTTGGGATATAAAAACAAGGAACATGTGAGTTACATAATTATATATCATGGAATAAACAATATTCGATTAAAAGCAAAATATAAATGTAAAAACACTAAAGTTATTCAGAAATTCAAAGAGTTGAGTAATATGCATCGCTCAGCATACATAGTAAACC